TAATAATTCCATACATTTATGTAGTGGTTTTCTAAACACTCAAAGCGTTTTACACTTTTAGGGGAATCTCCTCATTCACCACCAGTGTGCAGCATCCACCTGGATGACACGCCGGCAGCCATATTGCGCCAGATCGCACACCACACACAAGCTGATTGGTGGAGAGGAGACAAGAGTGATGAAGCCAATGATATGGGGACAGAGGCCAGTGGGCAAATTAGGCCTGGATGCCAGGGATAAATCCCTACTATTTTTTCGAAGGACTTCAGTTTTTAAAGACCACAGAGAATCAGGACCTCAGTTTTAACTTCTCATCCGAAAGACGCCACTCACTGAGCAATATAAAGTCCCGATCGATGTAATGGGGCGTTAGGACCAAAGCAAGATCGCAGGTTGTGCTCCCCCTGCTGGCCTCACTAACAGCACTTCCGGCAACAACCTAGCTTTCCCATGTGGTCTCTCATCCAGGTAATAACCGGGCGCAGCCCTGCTTAATTTCAGTGGGGGACCATGTGAGAGTTGCAGAGAGCTAGCTGCCGGAAAATAAAAAAAGCAAATGCGAAGGGAATGGGCGGGGCTTGTCGCATACTATAGAGCATTTGATTGGTCAAGATTTGATGGAAAAACTGAAGTATGAGGTGATTTGAAGAAAATGCTGACTCATTTAAGCAGAAGTGACAAACTACCAGCTTTAGATGTTGTTATCAGTGTTATAATTTTTAAACGTAAATTTTGTCACTGTTTTGGACAAGTGTGCCGCAAGCCTACGTTTGAGTGAAGGTTTCGGCCGTTAGATCGCCCCCTGGGAGCTGGCTGCAGTACAAGTCATAAAGCCCGCCTCCTCCGTGTTAATGAAGGAGACTTGAGCCCAAATAAAAAAAAATATTACACTTGCAATAAAATGTCCCGAAAGATGGTTCTGGTCGATTAAGGCACTGGTTATTGTGCTGAAATAGGTGCAGATCTTCATTTTTGTAAACAGTTTGTTTTTAGCAGTAATTTAATGCTGGGCGTGTCATCGTGATTGACAGCTGTGATTGACAGTTTCTCAAAGCGCGGCGTCTGAGCTTCGGCAGGAGACTGAAGTAGACTGAAATGTTATTATTCGATTTCTGTGTTATTTTACCATGACAAAATGAGTTCAGCAGTAAACTATAGTTTCTGACATACAGATATAATATATAGATATATTTATTCGCTAAGTTCAGGGCTTTTTTCGGGCTTTATTAGTTTGCTGATACACGCCTAGCCACCCAGATAGCAAAACACAGTTCCGGCTAGATTCTCGCCTGCCAGAGACTTATCTCTTAGAGCTCAGACTGACTAATGTTACCTCTGCTGGACCTACTCCGGATGCCTGGACTCACTGCCCGATTCCAGCCCGAGTCAATCGAGCCAGATGCGGCGGCCGAGCGAGCAGGCGCTGCCGCATGCGAGCCGGAATCAGCCCGCGACGCCGCGAGTAAGTTATGTGTTGCGGCCTGGAGCTGGCACGATTGAATATGTAAAACCCTCATATTTGTTAACGTTATTACATCCATTTGTGTTGATATGACAGCAAACGCATGCTGAGAAGTTCGGGGGGCGTAGTTGATTTTACATAAAGCGTTTGATTGGAAGCTCGACTCTGCTCATTTTCGCGGCTCCTCCTCTGGCTCCATCAGACAATCCTTCTGCGCATGTCTGGCTCCAATTTCAGCAGTCTTTTGCGACAGTTTGTGCCCGTCAAGCAGGCGTTTTGCCCTCAAGGCGTTCAATGGGAAAAAGGGCTGTCGCGTCGTCCATATTTTTTACAGTCATTGGTTTTGGAGCACACTAGCTAATAGATAGCCTTAAAAGTAACATTAATGAATGTTAATTTTAATTTCATGGGACAAATGATAATTTTGTCACCAAATTCTTTCATCAAATGTACTCTTCCTTTAGCATTTCTTCTGTTGAACACTAAAGGAGATATTTGGAAAAAAGCAGGAAACCTGTAACCCTTGCCTTCCATAGTATTTGTTTTTCATACTGTAACTGAGGCCAGCTAGTGAAGCGATAGGCAGGTAAACCTCACTCCTCTGACATCAAAAGGTGCTTTAGCAAAAGATGCTAAAGGTCATGGTTAGAGCAACTGACTCCCATGCAAAGAATCACTGCTTTGATCCCAGCTCAGAGCTGATTGGGTGCAGTAGGACCGGTGAGTTAAACGTGGGGGCTCGTCCGGGATTGGAGTGAGGTTACGACGTTACGACAGCTAATGACATGCTATGCAAGTAAACCTTACTTCTCTGACCTCAAAAGGTGCTCTAGCATCAGATGCTAGAGGCCATGGTCTTTAGCCTCCTAGTTAGAGCAACCAACTCCCATGCACAGAATCGCCGGTTCGATCCAAGCTCAGAGCGGATTGGGTGCTGTAGGACCGGTGGGCTACACTAGGTGAGGTCAATGGTTGCATGTTTTCAGCTTTCTTCAGAATATCTTCTCTTGCGTTCAGCAGAATAAAGAAAGTTTAGAATATGATGTTTTGGAACCACTTAAGGAAGAAAAATCAGCGAGTAAACATTCATTTTTTGGTGAACAGTCCCAAATGTAAATATACTGTACAATATTTAAATAATTTAGTCACATGAACAGTTGTTGTGTTTTAATATTGACCTTCACAGACCACAGAATATTCTCTTTAGACAACAGGGTCCACACAACATTAGCTCTGTTGTTAGTGCTTTAATGCGTGACCGCCTGAACCTCCATTGACTGTTTGTTCATTTAACCACAAGAGGGCAAAAAAGTCATTCAGATCCACATTATGGAACTAATTAAGTTTTGCCAATCTGCTTCGTTCATAATTCATGTTCAGTTATTAGATTCTTTACGCCGCCTTCTCAGGCTCACATGCTTGATCGCTTGCTGAGTTTTGCTTTTATTTAATATGAAAACACTAAATCCTTGTTACAATGAATAGTACAGTGGTTGGACCGTGGTACATGTGGATGCTGTGGTAATGAATCACAGCCATATTCATGTACAAAAGTCTACTTTTTGTAGTTTTTAAAGGAACAGTTCACCAAAATTATAAAAACTACCCCATAATTTACTCACCCTCAAGCCAACAAGTAGATGAGCTTTTTTATCATGCCATTAAAATATTTTCTACCATATTTTTATTCTTTTGATAAAGGGTGGGAATAACATAATCAGAGTATACCAGCAAACATCATCTACACACATACCACCGAACCACCAGGAGGCGTCCCTTGCTCTTAAATGTGAAACTATGCTTTTGATTTTATTTATCCAACTCTAGAATTCAGCGACTGGCAGGGCCGGAGTGGGACTCCTTTTTAGCTCTGGAGTTTAAAGCCTTAGACCAGCCCACCTCAGTCGATGACTGAATATATTAAAATAACGTTATTTACAATTCAGTTTCTAATGACACTAACATGTCTTTTTCAAGGACACAGCTGCTTTAGAACTTCAAATGTTTTTTTCATAAATATGAGAACAATAATTCTTTATAGATATCCAGACCTTTGTAACGGTCGTCACACACACACACAAATATGTACCCCTACATAAGTAACCCAGACAGTATTTTATGTCTTAACACTGTAAATGAAAAAAATATATTATACTCTGCTAAGGGTCGATCTCGGATCGGCAGCTATTGATGTCTACTCTTTTTTTTATTTTATTTTTTTTTATTTATTTATTTATTTTATTTTATTTTTTTAACCCTACTCTTTTTCTCCCCTTTTAAGATTTAAAAAAAAAGTTATGTCAGATTTATTAATGTAGTGAATCATCTGTTTTTTATTGAGCAGGTGTAATATTTATTAATATTAATTAATATTTACTAAGGTGCCGCTGTTTGGGGTGGAATGACAGTTGCATCATCATTAACCTGCAGGCTGCATTTTGCTCACGGGGCTGCGAGAAAATAAATAAAAAGAGCGGAGCTGTGGCAAAATAATGGATAAAAACAAGTGAGGTTATGGTCAAATAAACAAATAAATGAAAAAAGTGGAACCGCTGAGAGTGCAAGCAGCTAGGGACACTGGCCCTCGCGGCCAAAAAACAGACCGGCCCACCGGGAATTCTCCCGGTTCTCCCGATTAGCCCATCCGGGCCTGGCGACTGGATTTTTTAATTAAAAAAATATAAACAGTTCTGTTACAAAAACACAAATATCCACTTTAGTTTATTTTTCTCACATGTTTGTGCTTTTAAAAGCTTCAAAATAAAAGCCACACTTTTATACCTTTTATACAACATAAAAGGGTCAGGATCAAATGTATAAATAATTTTTGTCTGACAGAAAGTAATGTACACCAAGGGGTTTTTGAGGACGGGTAAATTGCTAGGTAATTTTAATATTTATTTATTTATTTTTTTTATTAATAATCTGTGAAAATGTAAAAATAAAGCAAGAAACCAGGAAAAATGGTGACACAAAAAGACACCTCAAATGATGTAAAGAAAACTTACAAGTCCTCACAATTTAAACAACATTATTAGTCCTTGTGTTGTGTTAAGAAAAAGACTGGATCCCACATTTGATCAAATTTTGCAGAGTTCCCAGAGGTGGCATCTTTAATTCTTTCCAATAAACCAGTGCAAGAAGGCAGTCAGAAAAGAGGCCTAACATTTTTCTTCCAGAATCAAAGGGTAACTTTCTTAGCTGTGTTTATGCCATACTAAACAGGTAAACATACAATTTGGTTGAGAGTCTCCAGAAAATCTGGCCAACCAAAAATTGCTCTCATTGAGTCAGGGAGTAAAACACAGTTGTGAACCTTAGAGATTTTATTCTTTGATGAACTATTTCTTTGAGTGCTTCAAACTCGGCTTGATTTAATCGATGTATCGTGTATCTATGTATTCTGTACCCTATCCCTTCATTCATGCTTTATACATTGAATGCCTTCATAGCTTTTATTTTGGTGGTCTTCCAGTCTTAAAAGATTTCCTGCTCTATAATTCCACTGATAAGTTATTGTTGTTGTTTTTTTCAACAGAGTCCCCTGAAGCAGATGCTGTAATGGACGTCAGCTCTGAGGAATCTTTGGACTCTGAGGTTCTCTATGACTGTGTGATCTGTGGTCAGAGTGGACCGTCCACTGAAGACAGACCCACAGGACTGGTGGTTCTGCTGCAGGCTTCGTCAGGTACTAAAAATCCAGCATTTATCATGTTTTCATGTGTACATCAACCCTGAACAATATCACTTAAGCCAGCATTAATAGCAAGATTTGTTAATGACACCATATCAAAGACAAACTTTTGTTTTGAGCAGACAATGTAGTCATGATATAGGGCAGGAATTTAACTCTTCATCAATTGATCATTGGATTTAGAATATGAGGATTGCATTAAGAAAAAGAGAAAATAGCTTTTCGTGCATGTTTTTTTGCACTGTAAAAACATGTAATGCCAAAAAATCCAATTTACTAATATTGTTTTTTAAGTTGCTAATATCTGTGACTAATATCTTTGTAAGTTTGATTTAAGTTGAGATGACTAGAAAGTTCAAAACAATTCATAAATACACAAATCCAGTTTGCAAATTCAAAACGCAATTCATAAATACATGCACTAGACACAGATTAATCACGATTAATTACATTCTATATAAAGAATGCAATACACACACCCACATAAAAACAAAATTAATAAATATAAGCAATACACATACATATTTTAAGTCACAGCAAACTTTTGTATTGGATGTGATTAATCGTTATTCAGTTTACCTTAGTACTAACAAATACACAAATCAAATTGAAAATACACAAATCCAATCCACATTTATGAGTTTTAAATTTACTATTTGGATTTTTGAAAATGCAAAATGCGCTGTGCACAAAATACTTTTATTTTGTAAATGTATTATTTTTGAGACTGATCTGGCTCCATACATTTTTGCTCAGCACTAATACACAAATCCAAAGTGTAAATACACAAATCCAATCCACAGTGTTATGTTTTTATTTATGAATTGTGTTTTGAATATATTAATTAGATTTTGTAAACCTAAACTCCGCTGTGCACATATGACTTTTATTTTGTAAATGTATTATTTTTTTAGTCTGATCTTACTCCATACATTTTCCCCAACACTAATAAATACACAAATCCAATCCACAGTGTTTTGTGTGTATTTATGAATTGTGTTTTGAATTTTCAAATTGGATTTGCGCTGAGCATGCATGACTTTTATTTTGTACATTTTTTTAAATTGATCCTACTCCATACATTTTTGCCCTACACAAATCCAATCCACAGTGTTATGTTTTTATTTATGAATTGTGTTTTGAATATATTAATTAGATTTTGTAAACCTAAACTCCGCTGTGCACATATGACTTCTATTTTGTAAATGTATTATTTTTTTAGTCTGATCTTACTCCATACATTTTCCCCAACACTAATAAATACACAAATCCAATCCACAGTGTTTTGTGTGTATTTATGAATTGTGTTTTGAATTTTCAAATTGGATTTGCGCTGAGCATGCATGACTTTTATTTTCTACATTTTTTTAAACTGATCCTACTCCATACATTTTTGCCCTACACAAATCCAATCCACAGTGTTATGTTTTTATTTATGAATTGTGTTTTGAATTTATTAATTAGATTTTGTTAATGTAAACTCCGCTGTGCACATATGACTTTTATTTTGTAAATGTTTTTTTTTTTTTACTGATCCTACTCCATACATTTTTGCCCTACACAAATCCAATCCACAATGTTTTGTGTGTATTTATGAATTGTGTTTTGAATTTTCAAATAGGATTTTTTAAATGTGAGCTGCGCTGTGCATGCATGACTTTTATTTTGTAAATGTATTATTTTTGAGACTGATCTGGGTCCATAAATTTTTGCTCGTCACTAATAAATACAAAAATTCAATTGGAAAATACGCAAATCCAATACACAGTGTTTTGTGTGTATTTATAATCTGCGTTTCGATTTAACTAATTGGATTTTTTGTAAATGCGCTCTACACATATGACTTTAAAATTGTAAATTAATTAATTTTGAGATTCTTGGGGCTCCAAATTTTTGCCCAGCACTAATACACAGATCGAATTGGAAAATGTACATACCCTATCTAGTGTTTGGTGTGTGTTTTTGAATTGTTTTGAATTAAATAATTGGAGTGTATGGGTGTTTCCCAGTGATGGGTTGCAGCTGAAAGAGCATCTGCTGCATAAAACATATTCTGGATAAGTTGGTGGTTCATTCTGCTATGGCAACCCCTGATTAATAAAAGGACTAAGCTGAAAATGAATGAATGAATTTACAAAATGGAATTTGTAAAGTTCTTCCATGTGCTGTGCATGACTTTTATTTTGTAAATTATTAATTTTTGACACTGATCTTGCTCCATAATGTCAGTGGAATAAACGTATTATAAAACATTACAAAAACTGTCCTGATTCCAAACTTTTTATTCAGCCTTTATTTCTTGGTCTCATCACGTCCAGTTTACTGGAGCTCTTTAACTGCTCTTTAAATTTGCCCGTTTAGTCTACTGGTTTTAGCAACCATGTTTTAATTGCTTTATTTATCAAGTGTCTTTTCTTGCCACGCTGCTGTGATAAAATTAACTTTCTGTTTTATGTACAATTCCTCGGCTTTGATTTGTCCAATTTGTGATTGTGAAATCAAGATGGAATTTCACAGTGTTGGAAGCAGTGTGACCCTGTCGACCCTGACGTCTGTCACAGTGTTTGAATTTGACATGAAACTTCGTTATAGTATGCAGATTGCATGCAGACGAGTGCTGTAAATGTTAGGAAGGCAACTAATTAGCTTGTGATTGCCATTTCTAAAGAGTGTGTATGCATGTGTGTGTTTCAGTTTTGGGTCACCGTTGTCGTAGTGACATGCCAAAGCGATTGCCCACCACAGACGAAGAACACATCTACCCTGAGGACACATGTGGAGCCACACACGATGTCAGGCTGTCCCTTATGCAACGCTATTTTAAAGATGTATGTATACACACGTCAGTGTTTTACATGAGTGAATTCTACATTCAGTGTGAACCAAATTAAACTGCTATTTTAAACGCAATGGTGACATTGTTTGAGCTGTTTCATGGGGCATTGTATATCTAAGTATTGTTATTGCGATATATCAAAGAATCGTTATCGCAATAATAGTATATGCAACATCTTTAATGCAGAGAAGTATGATAATTGAAGTTAATTTAATGTGCCATGATTTGTGTGTGGAATACATATATTATCCAAATCCGACCAATCAGATGAGGCCTTTACTATCTTCATCCCAAGGTTATTATAGTTAGCGAAAACGAACATATGAAAACTAGAACTGAAAAACATTTTCGTTAACTAAAATAAAATAAAAAACAATATTACAAAATTAACAAACTGTGTTGTGTATAAACAAAACTAACTAACTAAATAAATTATAGCAAAAACGTCCTTCGTTTTTACCTTTGTAAATGTATTTAATACACACTGTAAGTCTTTTATAAGTAAATCTGTTTACTTCGTGCTGCCAGGTGTTTGACCCGTACGGCACCTTAGAGTCTTTAATCCTGATGCCACTGGCCAGATCAAGCTGGTTCTTCTTCAATCAGTCCCCGCTGTTGCTCCCGTGACAAAATGGCTGGACATGACAGCATTAAATACGACCCGAGCAGATACTTAAAAGTATTAATTTAACACTTTTGTGCCCAATAATGGGTTTTATTTCTATATTAGTGATCACAATCGTGAACAAATTATTATTTCTAACCGGATCTTCTAAGTGAACCGGTTGAACTAATTCACCAAATCAAACTGAATCATTTGAAAGATTCTTGTCTCCATTAACGTTATTGCAATTATCAACAAACAACATACTTTTTAACATGCCTGATACTCCCTCTATCTCGAAATCAATCGATATATACTGAGTTATTCAGTTATTAGAACAGTACACTGAGATCAGATTCGAGAAGCGGTGAACTTGTAAAACTGCGCAAGCGTGATTCAGTGAACTGAACACAAATAGTACATGACAGCCTGCTGTGACTGAATTTAACTTGAACAACTGCAGCACGGTTAAACTGAGGGCTTAAATGAGAAGATCTGGCGACACGTACGTTTATTTCATAACAAAGTTATAATGGACTATAAATAAGTGAATCATGCTTCTATTCCTCTGTCTAGTATAGGCCACATATGAAATCTGCTTCCTTTCATTGCATCAGAAAAGACAAAGCTGCATCCTAAATCTCATGCTTCTCATCATATAGTATCAAAATCAGTATGCAAGTCGAGAATTATGTCAATTCATTCAAATTACAACAAAAAAGATAATTAAGTGATTGTTTTATTTAGGTGTTCAGTACTTTGCTGGTATGTTTATTGTAAAAAGTCTCCCACGCTTTGACATTTTCCCTGCTGCAGGTTATCACTGTTTCACCTTGTAAGCCTTTTGTTTAGCGTTATTTTAGAATCTGTTGTTAAATCTCTTTAGTAGCTTGTGGGTGATTTTAAAGAAGTCTTTTCATTTTCTTAATTTCCCCAGAGTTCCTGTCTGCAGTCTGTGTCTATTGGCTGGGACGGAGGGGTGTATGTGCAGACGTGTGGCCACACTCTGCATATAGACTGTCACAAGTCCTACATGGAGTCCTTACGGGTGAGAGTTTGTCAGCTCTTCATAACTGATCACCACACTAGAGGTGTCTAAAATAATAAAGGCTTCCCACAGTACTTGAATTTCAGACTCATGGACTCAAGGCCTGGAAAGTACCTAAAAAAATAGGTCCTTGACCTATATATATATATATATACATATATATATATATATATATATAAAGCTGATTATAATCAAGTGACCCTTAAATATCTACAAAAATAGAGCTTTAGTTAAAATAGAGCACTTACAGGCATATATTTTAATGTTTAAACCAGCCCCAGAAAAAATTTCAATGCGTGTTACTCTCGACCACCCACTGAGATAAACCAAAAGTAAGCCGATCATGTAGTACAGTACTTTAAATGTCCAGACTCGTCTGTGCCTTGAGCGAATCAGTCTCGTGCTCTCCACTCCTCCATGACCACCACAGCGGCTGCTCGGGATACGGCCTGGTCCAGGATTATGGAAACCTGGGGATCATCTCGTCGCAGGTCTTGGATCGCATCAGTGGCCCTGCATAGTCTCTGGGAACCTCGGGATGAGTATCTCCAGGTGGAAATAAAGAATAAAGAGAATAATTAGCGTAGCTGCTGTTCACAAACATGACCTCCGTACAGAAATTTTAAGTATGGAGCAATCACTGCTTTTTTTAATGTCTAATCATCTTGTTTAATCTCACCTCTTTTCGCAGCGCTGTACTACAGAATTCTACAAGCTCAAACTCTAGTGTGACCATGGCATGAGAACAGAAAAAAACAACAGTATAGAGCAGACTGAATGCTTTATGAATAGTCAGTGAGACATTAGCCAATCATGACAAAAAGGATACTGTATCACCTGTTTTTGAGAACTAGTCAGCCATTAAACTTCATTAAATCAACCATTACCGAACCTGTTGTATTTGCTTGTTTTGCAGAATGATCAGGTTCTTCAGGGGATTTCTGTGGATAAAGGCGAGTTCACTTGTCCGCTTTGCCGCCAGTTTGCAAACAGTGTTTTACCTTGTCGTCCTGGACGAGGGATGGAAACCGGAGCCTGGCACGCACCCAGTACCAAGAGCATGTCTACACTGGTGAAAGAAGTAGAAGACCTCCAGGAGCAGCTGGGCATTTTCCCAGTAAGAGCCAGCATAAAGCAAAGAGATCCCATTCTGGTATTTATTAGAGTGCTCCCCATCCCCTCTTTTCTGTTCTTTCCATCTCATCCCTCCATTCTGATTCAGAGTAAGAGCTGGTGCCACACTGACCTTCATGTGATCTTTCATGCCCCATCTAACATTGCTGTGGTTTAACTTCTCATAATGCAAAGACTCAAGTTGGTGTCATATATGCATGTCAAACATTAGTGAGGTACTGAATTTTCTGTCACTGAAACTGAAAGACAAAAATAGCCATAAATAAGTGTATGAGCCAAATTGTGTCCCTTTCAGTTTGCTGGTTTTGCTCTCCCTGCACTGTGAGAAGCGGCTTTCACACTGGACAAACAAAGCACTGCGCTATGAAACCCGTTCATTTCAATGGCTTGTACCGTACAAGGGGGGTTTGTTGTGCTTTGAAGTGCACATTTAACAAGCTTTAAAATTTGAAATGGCTCAATATTAAGGTCTTTGCACACTGAAGTCTGAAATTTTTGTATGCCTTTTTTTCGTATTCATATTCAAAAATTTGTCATGTAAGCAAATATAGAGTCCGATGCATATTCATTATCCATTCTGAAGATTGTGTTCTTCCCATACTACATAGAGAAGAGGGAGATTATCCTCAAAAGCAAAGTTTATTTCTGGAAATCAGTGGAATTTTGAGTGCTTGTGTTTTACATTTAGTCATTTAGCAGATGCTTTTATCCAAAGCGACTTACAAATGGACAATGAAGCAATTTACACAACTATAAGAGCAACAATGAATACGTGCTGTAGGCAAGTTTCAGGTATTTAAAGTGTAAGAAGCAAAACACTTGTCATTTTTATTCTTTTTTTTTTTTTTTAATAATACAGTTAGCTGTAGAATAACTGTACCTGCAGCGTAGCTCCCGTGCTTTGCCAGTGTTAGTAACAACAGGAATTAGTAAACACATAATAAAAGTTCAATGAAAACAATAATAATTGCAAAGATAAAGTAAAATAAATAAGTACTCAAGTGCTTTGTCGGTGTCTTTGCTCGGTGGAGTCGCGCAGGTAGAGTCGAGGGTTTTCACACTCGTCGGTCTTCACACGAGGCTGCCGAGACTAGCTGCTTAAATTCACCTCTGAGCGCTTGCTGATTGAATTCAGCTGGACACGCCTCGAGAGTACCCACAATAAAAACAACAAAAACTGAGGCGGGGGGGCGCGAAACCGTCCGCGAGACACACACAAGCTCTTACAGTAACCAAGGAAACAGTGAGTGAACTTTCTAATAATACTGAAAACAAGTCTAAATGTCCTAGAACCATACACAAACAACTGAAAACAAGTCTAAATGTACTTACACACTGCTGGTGTTGTTGCTAAGCACACTAAATGTCCTAGAACCATGCACAAACAACTGCAAGCAAGTCTAAATGTACTTACATGTTGGTCTCATTGCTAAAGTGCTTTTTACTTTTATAAAGTGATACTTAATTTTATGCACGTAAACAAATTCAGAACAGAGACTAGCAGTACCTTCAGACATTATAATAGATGGCGGCCGCATTGACATGTCACAGCAACGGGCCGAAGTGGATCATGAGGCGATTATAATGGACAGGCTGCAGGCTGTACGTCAAATGTACGGACACAAACACCCCAAACAGCAGCAGGGGAGATGTGCGCTAGTCACAGAATCCAGCATATAGGGATACTATTCTATCCACCACATTCTGTCTCTTATTATGCACCGTGTTTGTCATAAAGTTATCTGTGGCTATGGTGACAACATTTTGTATTTTGCCTTTCGCTTGTACGACGGCTCTGAACTGTCAAAACACCTCTCAAAGTGCTTTCTTGGATGCGAAAAACTGAAGAAAACGTACCTGGTTTGAATTTTTAATGACGGACGAAAGTTTTAGAGGCTGTGTCTCAATACAACGAGAGGTCAAATTTATATTTAAACGTGCAAAAATTACGGATGAAATTTTTGGATTCAGTGTGCAAATAACCTTTACACTCTAGATCTTTCGCACATGTTTACTTATCCATGCATGAATCGCACATGCTCATCGAAAAATCTAAGTCCACCCAATTAACTCTCCAACAGGACATTTCTACGTAGTGTTGTAGTCTTTTTCTTGCTGCGTGTAACAGTGGCGCCTGCAGGTGTACGGCTGTACGCACAGTGCGTACCATGAGAGGGCGCGAATTAATGCCGCTTTTAAATTTTTTTATTACATAATTTACATTGATTAATAAACAGCGTACACTACGATACATTGATAAAGCAAGAAAGAATAACAACAAATAAAGGTGTGTGTTTTAAAGTATGTATGTACTTGCATGGTGGGAGATGGGTAAAGAAATCTATTGGCTTTAGTCTTACTGGTGGATTTTCCGCACCTAAAAATCATTGTTCAGATAGGTATTGTTTTAAAACAAGGTTAAAATGAGTAAACGCTCTTTAAAACAGCAAAACTTAATTGAGACATTTGCCAAAAGGCCTAAAACTAATAATACAAATACCGCAGTCTCATTATCAGCACCTGAGTCGGGGAACCTGTCTCGTTCATCAGACAGATCAGATCCAGCTGCTGCGCGGCCTCCTTGCATGGAACAGCTATCATTCAAGGTGTTTTAAACAAGTTTATCTGACAGGCTGGCATAAATAAGCAGACATCTCCTTTCTCACGAGTTTCTGAAGTGTCTCACACTTTCAACCGAGTTTGTTCCACCGAGGTAAATGTTCAGTGTTGTTGCGAATATGCGAATTTGTAAACATCTGTCCTGCTCTTTCACATTATTTGATTAAATTAATTAAATTGTAATTGACCGGCGCAACATGGGAAAACAGTATAATTTAGGCCCCTGTAAAACTGAACATTTCACTTTAATTTTGCCAAGATTATTATTTTATTATAGTTGAGTTCGTGGTTCGGCATTGTTAAAGCATATTGCGGGTTTTGAAGTACTTCAAATGTTATTGGTTCTTCTACTTTATTTAGAAGATAACTGACCAAGACAAATACTTGAACAAAGAGACAAACAATAAACGAAATTGGTTTTAAAAAGACATTATTTCTAAGAAAAATAGGCTACAAATTTTATTTTTGTTTGAGCCCGTCCACTACTCAACTGTGCGGGTGGATGATTTTCGGTCAGTGGAAAGTAAGGATTTAATTAATGCTTCACTAATTGTATTTTATCACAATTTTCTGTCATATATTTGCAAATATTTTAATGTCATAATTTTAAAGATTACGTCTTGAGCGTCTGATTTTTCCTTGGTGCTGATGTGCTTTTATTCTACATTTAGATTTCAGCAAAATATTAAAATCAAAAAGGAAACAAGTTATGTCATAACGAATGCCCTTGAATAATGCAGCCTTTGACAGCAAGCATCAGTGTTTCTTGACATGACTGGTGGAAGAGGGCGGGGCGGTGCTGAATTTGTGCGTACCTTGGAATAAAATCCTGCAGGCGCCCCTGGCGTGTAATATCGCTAATGTGCTGTAATGGCAACGCTGTTAAAATTACACCTCATTTTCATATTTTGTCCAAGTGCATCCATAATGTTCGGAATTTTCATTTTGGTGCGTCCCCCTAAAAACACGCATGCCTTCACAAATGTTAAGTTATTTTCCCTCTTCCCAGATCGAGTCAAACCTGAGTAAAGAGATGGAATCTGTTATAAAGGACATTAAAAACACCACACAGAAGAAATACATGGATTATGGGAAGAACCCTGGGTCACCTGACAATGACTTCCTCTTCATGTACTCCGTGGCCAGGTGAGTTAGAGCCATTTAATGTTTTCTTTGCATCTATATGTGACTTAAACAATAGATGGATCAGTGTTTTTTTAACTATTTTCAGTATTCTCAATACAGCATCAAGTGTTCATTGTTGTATTGTGAGTTTTAGGATTTCATTCGGGTGTCTCTCACATATAGTGATGGTTACCATTGACAATATTAATTACCAAAGAACCAATGTCATCTTAAAATCTTCTTTTTAGTTCTACTGTAAAATGTAGATACTTGGTTTTAAGTCGGCCTTGTCCACAGACTTTTACATATTCTATCTCTTTCTCCTTTCTCTCTCTTTCAGAACAAATCTGGAGCTTGAGTTGGTTCATCGTGGTGGGAATCTATGCAGTGGAGGGGCCAGTGCAGCTGCCAAACGCTCCTGTCTCAGTGAGTATCTCTCTCTCTCTCTCTCTCTCTCTCTCTCTCTCAAGTTCAAGTTGCTTTATTGGCATGACATTAAGTACAGTATTGCCAAAGCACTTCAAATATAAAATATATTAAAAACATTGAAAAATTAATAGTAATACAGATAAGATATAACGACACACACACAAAAAAACAATACATTTGATAAATATAATAATAATAAAAAGTTTAAATTATTTAAATGAGATACATGAGTTTACATTAACCATTTCTTATTGTGTGTAGGGTGTATACATATTTTGCAGCTAGTCTAAATGTCAATTCGTCCTCTCCGCGTATATGGTAAAGTTTTTCTGAGTCATTTAAATTAAAAAATGAACTGATCAATGTTTCAAATTGGGGGAAAAATATTTCTCTTGTCGTGGTGTATTTGGGGCAAAACAGAAGGAAGTGTGTCTCATCCTCAATTTGGTTTGTGTCACACTGTTTACATATTCTCTTTTCCTTAGGAGTCCAGGATTTTTTATGTCTGCCTTTTTCTATTTCTAGGTCATGATCACAGAGGTGATATTTAGAAAGAATGTGCTTTTCTTTTAATTGTTTTAGTAATAAATAATTTGCCAACTGTGTGGTTCTATTTAGGGCCGAATAACATTTAAGTTTAGTCTGGAGGTTGAATTCAGTTTTTAGTTTTTCATCATAGTTATATTTTAATGTTTTGTCAATTTTTTGTCAATCTCTCTTTCTCTCTCTCTCTCTTACGTTTATTTGTGGTTATAAGTATACACGTAAACAACGTTTTTTTTTTTTTTTTGTCAGTTATTAAATTTTCTTTTGGGTCAAGCAAAAATGGCAATTTATGACACCAGAAAAATACAAGTTGAGCAAAACTCAAGTGGCTGTTTAAAAACATTTTTTTTAACTTGGTGAAATCCAGAATTTTAATTGATTTCCAGTATTACAAAACAATGGGTGATCTTATGTGTTTTGAAAAAAATTGGTGTTACAAAGGAGTTTTATGTCAAATTTGTGATGAAAATTTAGAGTTTATAGTTCATTAGGCTGTTTCTAATTTTTATGTGTAACATTTGATTGTATAACGTCTTTAAAATGTTTATTAAAGGCGTGTTGAAAATTCAAATTCTCTCTCTCTCTCTCTCTCTCTCTCTCTCTCTCTCTCTCTCTCTCTCTCTCTCTCTTTCTCTTACTATTTTTCTTTTCCACTAAAACCAAAAATCACTCCCATGATCTCTTCTTTTGTGCAACTAGTCACAAAATACATTCATAATGGTCATGAACGATTCTCTTCAGTTCCAGGATTGTGTGAATAAAATTGTTCACAATCTTTGCGTAGCTTGTCTGTGAACTATGACTCTTGTCAGTGAAATGACGTATTCCTGACAACTGCAAATGGAGTGTCCCTCACACAGGTGAGTGGGCTTGACAAACCACCTGTAGAAAACATGATCTTTCATCTCTGACACTTTAACCCAACAATCAGCACAAAAAACACACAAATGAACACTGTGGATGTCTATAGTGTGCTTTACACAGGTGATAAGACTTGACAAATTAACCGAAGAAACCCACTTCTGTCTCTCTAAAAAAGAAAAAAAAAACTCTCCTTACTCTAGCACCTAAATGACTCTGTTTAGCAGTGCTTAATTTGTGAATTGTGAGGTTTTGGAACAGATTGGGATAATGGATCCGACTTGTTACCAGAGGATGTAGAGATGTCGCACACGAAAATCGATACCTGGTTGTGGCGTGTTGTCACGGATGAAATTGAAGAGCAAGGGAGGGGGAAGAGGGTTGGGGAGTCCCGGAAGAAAGTGAAAGTGAACAGCGGACGGGGGAGGAGGGCTGATCAGTAAAATAAGGTGCCGGATCAGATGTCAGAGGTTCTGGATCCGGTGTGATCCAGCACAAATTAAGCCCTGCTGTTTAGTAAATGCTGCTCCATCTGAAAACAGTTGCCGGAGATTTACTTTTTAGGTACATTTAGCATTTTTTATTGCAAAAATGTACCTAAAATTGGCCTCCGATTAATCGTGCAACCTTAGTTTTTGCCTTATGCTACTTTCTAAATCACATACAAATGTATTAAATATATCTCCAGTTCTAGTTCACAAAGATTTATCTTGACATTATAATAGTTTTTTTTGTGTCAATTAAAGGTGATGTATGTAAATTTTTGTCTACTCTAAAGCATAAAATATCGTAACATGTTTTCAGACATTTAAGAAACATGCCCAGTGAACATTCTTGTTTATCTGAAAAACGATGCTGTAGTTAGATATTTTGCTTTGAAAATGTGCGTTACGTGCCGGAACCTCTTTGTTTTGGTCCCTTTAATGCACCCAATGCCAGTTTAGCCAATTATATTTCAGTTTCCTGGGTTGACTTTGTTGAAAACCACATATTTCATTCATTCAGTCATAAAGGCTGTCAAAGCATGCGTCCGTGACCAAAATGCGAAGTTCCACATGAGGTGGTTCTTAATTAGCAAATAATATAAATATTGCAAACATAAACATTGTGTGAGCAGGTTACATTGTAACCGTGTGTCCTAACAACATGCTACATGATGAGATTTGCAGTGATGAGCAGTTTGGCACCAGACGAAACATGGCAGAAATTTAAATACAGCCGTTCAGAAGCACAAAATAGTGCACTCACAACAAAGTGGTAAGGTTTATAATCTAGTTAACACTTATTAAACCTCTTTACCATTATTAAATGAAGATGCTGAATCACTGATATATGTTGACTTGCACTAAGTCACAGATGTTTTTTACTCGCAATTTGCGTCGACGCTTAACGCCTCGCGACTAAATAACGGGTGCCAATGTGATTGTGCACACCAACGCGCAAAACGTCAGGCGCAAAAGCGTCTTAAAAAAAACGCCTCATGCTCGTTTTTTTTGTTTTGATGCGTCGCGTCAAAACCTTCTCCACCAATCAAATCGGCACTTTTGTTCACGTGCACGGAGCTGCTGAAGTTACCATAAGCAGCACTTGGAGGCGCTAAAGCGAAAAACTGTCAGTGCGAATGCACATTGAAGAAGATGCCCTGAGGCGATATGAACATGGAGCTGCTTATTGCTCTGTGAACAATAATCATTTCTTCATCGCTAGAGTTGCTGCTTGAGCCATCCATGCTTGTTCGAGTCACCAGTAACTTTAACAATAAGCGTGAGAATGGCCTTTCCTCCTCTTCTTCTGTGTTATAACTGGGTGTCAGAAGCTTATAGTTGTGCAGCGCCATTTAACGTCAAAACAGTGATTTAGCATACTCCTCAGATTGAAGCCAGTGAAAAGCGATTGGGTTTGAACACTGAAAAACGTCTTGTAAAACGCTGACGATAAACGCAAACTTAAAACGTCCCGGTGTGTAGGAGCCTTAAGGTGAACTATCTGCTGCTGCTTTCAGTAGTATGGCACTAAATGTCATGTAAAACGGCATTCAAACTTAGTTTGTATGTATGTAAACAGTTTTGTTGTTCCGCTGCTAGAAATAGAAGCCGTTTCTAATATACAAATTTCAGGTGTTGATTAGGACAAAAACTCCTTTTAATATGGAAAACATTCCTTCTATCGAGTGTCTTAAATTAGCCTTAAATAAGCCTTTAGGTTTGATAGTCAGGCTCGCTCCTGTTGGTGTCGTCAATCTGGCAACCTGCGCTTGCGTTTGTTTTGAATCAGGAGTGCAATACCTAGTTGAACCACTGGGCGTCAAACTTAGATACTGCACCTTAAACAAACTTAATGTTTTGCATGTGTTTAATTTGCTGTATATCAGCCCTGCTGCTTTTCAGATATCACATCAGTCTCAAAAGTGAAAACTACAATTCCAGAACAGTTTCATAATCTCCAAATTGAAGTTCACTGTCTTCAGTTCAGTGTTTAAGGACACAGTAGGTTGATTGCAGGAGCCTTCAGGAAATTCAGCCTTGCTCTTTACCAAACCCTGAACCCTAACCCCTACACCACAGCAGCTAAATGAAATTTTCCTGTTGAGGAGCTCTGACTTTCAATGTGACTTGTTTTCTACTATCCATGGTTTAAACAGAAGTGACTGTCAAGTAATTAAAAAAGCCATTAATTTTAGGATAATGCAGTGCGATTTATTGTATTCGCATAATGACTACCTGAAAGAAGGAGATTCAGGTTTGCTGTTGTTGGATTTTTGCCATCGAGACCATTCAGTCGGCATACATCCACACACACACACATTTCTACACGCTCATTTTTTTCTTATGAAAAAATCCAAACACTAAAGCGCAGCTGAAGAGATTTCACAGTCCAGCAGCGCAGCCATTTTCTGAGCTACATTAAACACACGTCCACAGAGAGCGGCACATTTACTCAGTCTCAGTACATTAGAGATCGCATCAGCAGGAGAACTGCAAAATAGAAAAGTATTGACAAAGAAAGAGGACTTAGGTGGCGTTTGGTGGCCATAGTGGGAGCGAATTGTCTGTGGTTGCATTTGGTTTTGGTTTGAACCAAAGTTAAATTTGTCCAATGGTGTGACAGCAAAAAAATAATCGTATACAAATAGCATGAGAGCAAATACTCCTTATTGTTGGACACTAGTCTTTATATCGTGCTATTTATTTTATATGAAATTATGATTTTTTTTTTTCTTCTCCTTGGATGTTTTCGATAAATAGGGGGGTCGCACCAAAAGACAAAACTTAATTATTCTAGTGGTAGTGGTTCCAAAATCTGAACACGTCACTTCACAGGGTTTTCAGTCACATGA